AAAAATTTGAGAAAAAGTATTATATTATTTCATAATGTATTTTCACGCTGGCAACGCAGCAGGTCATTGGCTAGTTTAAAAAATAAAAATAGGTTAGGTTTTTGCCCCCCCTCCCTGAAAAATGTTCTATGGACGCCCTTGCTCCTGCGGAAGCTTCAGGCATACTCTTTTGATCATAATAGCCTATCTTTGAGTGCATATCTGTCTGATAGAAAGAAATTTGTGCCGAATGCCATGTACAACGTAAATTTTTACTAATGTGGACGCGGCTTTAGATACTATAAAGTAACTAAGATACTCTAAAATAACTAAGATACTCTAAAGTAACTAAGATACTTTTTTCTGACAACTCTGATTCTGAGCTGTCGAGAATGAAAAACTTATCCCTTGAACATAACCTTAATCTTAACACTTCAAAAACAAGTGTAATGTTGTTCGGTTGTCAGAGGAAACTTCAGGAACTACAAATGAATCTCAATTTACAAATTGATAATGTACTTTTAGAGATTGTCAAAAGTGCAAGAAACTTGGGTTTAACATTAGACTCAGAACTGAGATTTAGGGTGCACACTAATAATTTAATTCAAACGTCTTTTTACAAACTAAAATTACTGTATAATGCCAGATATTTTCTTAATGAAAAATTAAGAAAAGAGTTATGTGAATTACTGGTTTTATCTAATTTTAATTACTGTGACTTTATTTATGATAGATTTCTTGATTCTAATAGCAAAAAGCGTATTCAGAGAATCCAAAATTCTTGCTGTCGCCTAATTTTTAATTTGAGTAGGCGGGATCATATTTCTCACAAAATTAAAGAATTAGGTTGGTTAAACATGGAGAACCGAAGAATTTTGCACCTTAATAACTTTACTCATAAGCTTCTCAACCTCCCTTACACATCGGAAATATTGAAAAATAAATTTGTTCCTAGAACTACAGTACATAATTTGAATATTCGTCAAAGGTTTATATTAACCACTCCACGGCATCATACTGCTTTGTTCCAGAGATCTATGGTTTATAATGCTGTAAAACAATATATTTTTTTGCCGAATGTGTTTGAGCCACTTAGTTTAAGTATGTAATTTCAAAATTGACGTTAAAAAATATTTGTTAGAAAATCAGTAAATTTTAACAGTAGTGTTTTTGCGGTTTTTGAGCTAGTTGAGTAAGATTGTTTTATGTTCGAATGAGGCAGTTTCAGTGGATTTTTCCTGTTGAAATCCATGCTGATAGGGTGTTATAATGCTGTTTTTTTGAAAAAATGCTTGCAATCTGTTATACACAATGCATTCAAAAACTTTTGAATCACCAAGTTTATCTAAAGAATAATAAACCTTCCTTTTTTGAATATTGCCTAACTAACTTTGATACAAAATTTGAACCCTATTGAATTTCGATATAAGTATATGAGTTAATCTACGACAAACTCTTTTATGCGAGTTATGACGCCATCGATGAGGGATGACGTAGGTGTGTTTGTCTGAATTTGGATGGTTTTAATAGGAAACGTCAATTTCTGAGCAAGATACAACAAAATAAACCCCCCACTCCGAGACTCAAATTTCTTGAAATTTTGATTGGTGCAAACCGCATTTCAATATCTTCAACCGTTTAGCCGCTAGAGGGCGATTCTCGATTTTGAGCAATACTGTGAAATCTTCATAACTTCTTTGTTTATAAAAATAACTGATTTCCGTGAAAACTTCCTAAAGGCACTTTTTCAAGCAGAATTCAATGACGTTTTCAGTTTTTTTCTATTGGGCCTCGGTTTCAAAATATTGACCAAAATCCGATTTTTTTCAATGGGACACCCTATATATTAATAGCTCTTTAGAAAGCTGCTGATTTCAATGATACTAATTTCGATGGGTTTATCTCTAACAGTTTTCCAGAAAAAAAATTATTTTGGTTTTTGTCATAAGAAACAATGAGTTAGAAAGAGACCTTTCTCATTTTCCTTACAAATATTGTCACAACTGCCCGCTTTATGGGAGTGACATGGGGGGTTTGTAGCTTTGGGGGTTGATGGAGAGAAACTCGCTCAGGTTATATAAAAATATAGATATATATTTTCCCAAATATAACCTTACATGTACGCTAACCCTACACAACACAAGCCACACGTCAATGCTGCTTGGGGGACTGTAGGTTAGTTTATTGTCACCCTTATGCCTTGTCCAGAGGGGCGTTCCCAACGAGAGGTAATTGCACTGAACAACGATAAGGCTGAAGATACCCAGAGGGGCGTTCCCAACGAGAGGTACTTGCACTGGGGAGACTTAATTCCAGAGGGGCTTTTCCAACGACAGGTACTTGCACTGGTTTAAGTCTGCCTTTGCTGCAGCTTGCAGCGCAATTTATATCAATTTATTGCTGAATTGCAATAAACATCCGACCGAATCGGCAATTAAATTAATAAGGTTGAATACCGGGTCCTCCTTTCCTAAGCAGCTAGTTGACAATATAAAGACCTGTTTTAACACATTGTCTCTTATGGAAAAAAAACGAAAAAATCTTTTTTTTTCGAAAACTGTTAAAGATAAACCTATCAAAATTTATATCATTGAAATCAGTAAAAGCAAAGCTTTTAAGAGAGCTATTAACGAGGCTATTAATATATAGGGTGTCCCATTGAAAAAAATCGGATTTTGGTCAATATCTTGAAATGGAGGCCCAATAGAAGAAAACTGAAAACGACGTCACTGAATTCTGCTTGAAAAAGTGCCTTTAGGAAGTTTTTACGGAAATCAGTTATTTTTATAAACAAAAAAGTTATGAAGATTTCACAGTATTGCTCAAAATCGAGAATCGCCCTCTAGCGGCCAAACGGTTGAAGATATCAAAATGCGGTTTGCACCAATCAAAATTTCAAGAATTATTTTGTATCTCGCTCAGAAATTGACGTTTCCTATCAAAACCATCCAAATTCGGACACCCTGTACACTCAGTAACTCTCTTATCTATATATATAAAAATTAATGCCACTTTCCGTTGTAATTTTATAACTCAAGAACAGGCAAACCAAATGTTTTGGACTTTGTTCGAACTATTTATTAAATGGTTTATGTGAAGTTTGCACAAAATCGGTCGAGCGATTCTTCATTTATCACATTTTTTGTAATAAATGAATTATTCAATTAATGGAGGATTATTTTGTTAATGGGGATTTTGCTATCAAATTGAAACTTTTTTCAGCGTTGACAGTACCAGCATGTTGGTATTTTTTCTAAATGGAACGTCCTGTATATTTTTGTTATCCAAATAGTGTTTGACATGTTTGTGAAGCTAATTTTCTAAAAATTTCAAAAATGCAAAAATATACAGTGCATTTCATTTGAAAAAAATGGCTTTTTTGGCGCACCCTGTATACCTATGGCGACAAAAAAATATTGTTGTAGCAATTAAGATCGTTGTAATTTACCAATTTAAACATGCCCATTTTTCTCAATAATAAAAAAGTTACTGAGTGTTCCAGTTATAAACAAACACCCTGTACAAACCTTTTTGAAACAAACTATACTTCCAGTCTGTTGGTGCCATTTTGATAAAAAAAGTAGTATGACAAAAATCTACAAAATCTCCTGGTCTATGATGTCTATGTTAATATGTCATTGCTTGGGTTGGGAAATATGAAAAAAATATATTGGGTTCAAGCAATGTCATCATATTAAAACACAGATAGACATCATAGACCAGGGGATTTTGGAGATTTTTATTATACCTACTTCTTTTTCATTGCAATGGTACTGAGAATGGCACATACAAGAGCTACCTACTTATTTCAATTAAATAAATAGAATAGCAAACTATGTTTTGGTTTATTCATCTCCAGATAAACTTACTGACAACTGTGAGGACAATTTACACAACAACATATTCCCATTGGTTGCCAGATAACTGGATGACCAATAGGATTATAGATTGTGTTTTTATCTGACAGTTTATCAGAAGGTGAATAAACCAGGCCTAAAAGAATTGATTTGATCATGTTTTGTTAAACTTCCTTTAACATTCAACTAAAGATTTTGATTAATACAATAGGTAATAGGTATGGCAAGAATAAAATATATCATATATAATAGGCAAAAAGGAAAAACCTCAACTGATAATAAATACCTAATTACTTTAGACTGGTTTACTGGTTTAATTTATGGCCTCTAGACGGTATAAATAAGAGAAATTTCTCTAATTAAATGTATAGCAAGTTGGCTAAAATGTAATAGTTCAAAACTATGTTAATTTGATAAATTAGAGTTTATTTCACTTGTAAGATTTTTTCCTGTTATACCATTGAATTCCTTATAACTTTTTTATGTTCAATCAAACCCATACTCACTTACCAAAGCAAAAAGCAGCAAAAAAAAAACCAATTCACTTGCAAGTTTTACAAATATTTGGAATTCCTTTGCACAAAAAGTTCCTTGTAGGGTTTACCTGAAGGGTTTCGGGCCGGGATTTTTACGTTTATCGACGCGTCAAGCACTGGAAGCACGGATTTTCGGTTTTGAGCGATTTTTCGGGGTCGCGACAACGAAAAAAAACAACATAAATTTGGAATTTAACAGCTACAAAATAAATATAACCTCGCCATGTTTTCTTTTCTTTTTAAAGTGTCAGTGGCGACATCTGTCCGTCAATAGATTTATTTACCAATTTGTAATACTAATTTATTATTAATAAATCGGTATTAGTTAAAAATCTAAGCCAAATGAAATGAGTTTATTATTAATTAATAATTTATTAACAAATTAACAATAATTGCATCAAATATATTAATCAAGGATTGAGTTAACTTGGCAACGTTGGTACAAGACAAGTCTTGAAGAGTGCTTCGATTATCTTTTATCTTTTTTTCTCTTGATGAGAAGAACAAGGATAAAAAATAATAGAGTAACTCCGAATTCCCTATAAAATTTTAAAAATGTCAATCTGATGTCATGTTATAATCATAACCCCACTTTTCAAACGTGTTTTGTTTTCCTGTTTCTGTTTCCAATTTTTCAAAAAAAGGAAATTAAAAAATGAGTGACTCTGAAGCTGAAACAAGCTTCAAAGAAGTAGCTGAAACGAGCTTCGAAGATGTAGAAGTCAAAATTGAAACGGACATTAAACCTTCAACGAGCGGTTCGATATTGTTTCCCTCCGAAGCCAGATTTTCCAACATCAAAAACAAGCACGTCAGGTCTCAGCAGTTTCAAAAAGCCAAAAGGGAACAGAAAAAGGTAATGGTTGTTCACGTAACAAATGAGGAAAGTGATACTTTACAGCACACTATGGGGTAAAGTAACTTCACCATATAAGTAGTGTGAGTTAAAATATTACTTTCCACTTGCAAATAAGTGCGGTGCGGTAAAGTGCACTTTACCTAGGGTTGGCAAAAATCCGGCTAATTGTATGATAGTGGATAGAGAATTGAATTTTTGATGTTTTTGGTGAATATTATTTGTGTTTTTGATGTACCTATATGTATTTATTTTTATGTGTTAAAATATTAAAACCTAACGTTTTTGAACAGATAACTACAGAAGTATACAAGAGCGCTTAATAAAATTTGGGAAATTTCTGATAACTTCTACAACATTCCAGCGCGAAAAAATTCTTAGGGAACCAATTGAAAACTCTGGAAAGCTTTTCGAAAAGCTTCAAAATGCAAGCTAGAACATTTTCAAGCATTTTAAGACGCTCTAGAGTAATTTGGAATATTGATAAGCTCCAGAAGACTTTCAATTCAATTTTTAATCCTCCTGCATTTGTTTGAGACAAATTGGAATCTTTAAAAACATTGTGAAATGTTACAGAACATTTTAGAGTAGACCAGAACACTTCTGAACTCTCAGCAACATTTTAGAAAACTTTTGGAACACTCTAGAACACTTTACAAATCATATGGATCTTCTGGAAACAATCTAGAACTGAAAACCTTAAGATTATTTTGAAAATCCTCACATAACAATTTAGAACTAACTTAAAACTTCCATGAACATATTAGAACACTCCAAAACACTTCTGAACTCATTTAGAATTTCAATTAGAAGTATCAAAAAGCGCTTAAAAATATTTGGGGTATCTCTGATAACTTCTAGAACATTAAAGCGCTTCAAAATCATTAGGGTACCAATTAAAAAATTTGGAAAGTATTTTGAAAAGCTTCAGAATGTGCTAACACCAAGTTAGAATATTTTAAAGCATTTTAACATGTTTTAGAGCAATTTAGAATTTTTCGAGGGGTTTTTCACCTAACAAAATTTGTACACCGACTAACAGTACTAACTGAGATATTTCCATGTATTAATAGATATTTCTATGTACCTAATAACCAACTATTTCCATGTATTAACAAAATATTTCCACATGTCCCAGGTATTTCCCTAGTATTATCACATTATATTACCAGGTATTACCATGCTATCGTGCAACTTATATAATATATAAAATCACAAAAGCTATAATGATTCTGTAGTGTCAATTAAAATAATAACAATTCAAGAAACAACAAACAATTCAATTCAAAAACTACAAACAATCTAAAAATAACAAAATTAAAAATAAAGGAGACAAACCGAATGCTTGAAAAAAGTTATCGGTTAAAATCTATGCTGTCCACATAAAATATGTTTAGTCTTTCGGGCAAACTGTTTTTATCCGTTATTATTTCTCCTTCCATCTCTACTTTTTCAATGTTTGCATATAGTAAAATTTTTCTCAATACATTCCACATTGCCCTAGGATCCCGTTTACATCCATCCACCTTGAGCTCATTGTATTTTATTTCCTCTTCTTTGATAGTTTTAACTACTTGATTTCGCTTGTCTTTATATGATCTGTGTTCAACTTCACTTTTAAGCAATTTGTAAACTTTATAACTTTTATCTCTTTTGTTGTGTTGCTTTTTTGACATTTTCATTCCACCATGGTTTATATCGTGGGAAAATTTTACGCTCCATTATTCATGGCCCGATGAACTGTTGCCACGAAGAACTTACACTTGTCATCTAAATTATTTATATTAAAGTGCCAATTAACCAATTTTAGGTTCTCTCTAATTAAACCATAATTTTTATTTTTCGCTCTTGTTAAAACAAAATGTGGTATCTTGTTTTGTTATTGCAAAATTGTAGCATTGACACATATACAGGGTGTCCTTAGATAAACTGACATATTTTGCAGGTAAATATTTCCAAAACGGGAAAAAATAACGGGATGCGGTTTGTTCTGGGAGAATAAGGATTTTTTAAAGTTTTTTTTCACATTATTGCTGAATCCTAAAATTTGTTGAAATTTGGTTCTACAGACATGCGATTTTTTGAAATAAAATGTCTGCCTTATTTTTAATGAAAACCCCTGTATATTTTGTCATCGTCAGAAAGCCTGATTTTTCTGCTTTACAAAAATGTATAATTTTTTTTTCAATTATCTTGAACTTGCATCGTGAAAATTGCACTTTGTCGAAGGGAATACCATCGACTAACCAACAAAAAAATTGAGAATTAATTTGTGTTAAATACTTTTATTAAACACAAATAAGTGCAAATAAAACACAAATAATTAATTATTATCATTTTTTTTTAGCCAGTCGATGGTACACTCTTCAACAAACTGTATGTACATCTTTAAATTACATGCATGCTTCCAAAGGTGGTTTGATAGAAATATTTAAATATTTTTTGTATTTAAATGAGAAAAAATTCATAATTCCATTTCTGAGCTTGATATCCATTCGCGGTTTATTCTGTTTGATAAAAAGACACTACTCAATAAATCCTGGAAGTTTTAAGTCCCTTTGATTGCTTGAAGTATTTTTCAGAAGCTTCCAAAAGTAGTTTGATAGAAATATTTAAAGATTTTTTGCATTTAAATGAGAAAAAAATCATAATTCCATTTCTGAGCTTGATATCCATTAGCGGTTTGTTTTGTTTGATAAAAAGACATTACGCAATAAATCCTGAAAGTTTGAAGTCGCTTTGATTGCTTTAAGTATTTTTCAGAAGCTTCCAAAGGTGGTTTGATAGAAATATTTCAAGATTTTTTTGCATTTAAATAAGAAAAAATTAATAATTCCATTTCTGAGCCTGATATCCATTCGCGGTTTGTTCTGTTTGGTAGAAAGACATAACTCAATAAATAATGAAAGTTTAAAGTCCCTCTAATTATTTGAAGTATTTCTTTTTTTTTTTTTGGCCAATTGAATTGATGGTTCCCTTCGAGGTTCCCTTTTTAACAAAGTGCAATTTTTGAGATGTAATTTAAATATAATTGAAAAAAGTTATACAGTTTTGTAAAGAAGAAAAGTCACGCTTTTTGACGATGATAAAATATACCGGGTGTTTCATCAAGAATAAGGCAGTATGTCATTATTTCAAAAAATCGAATGTCTGTAAAACCAAATTTCAGGATTCGTTAATAACATGAAAAAAAACTTTAAAAAATCCTTGTTCTTCCAGCACAAACCGCATCCCGTTATCTTTTCTCGTTTTCGAGATGTTCACCTGCAAAATGTATCAGTTTATCTAAGGACACCCTGTATAATAATGATCACTCACTCTGGGGGCATGTTTTACTTCGGGAATCAGATCCAGATAATTTGTAAACAGCAAATCAATGCATGTACCACCATCTCTATTTGGCCTTGTAATTTACTCAATTTGTTGTTGAAATCCTATAGGTATCATGTGAGATAATAATGAGACGCTGTGTATATGTATTATCCGGCTGCAATATGTCAATATTAAAATCCCCCAGTATTACAGTTGGTATGTTATTATTGAGGTTATTATCACATACAGAATCAATCATGACACCATTCTTCAAAAAAATCCAAAAAATCCTTCTCACTACAGCTTGGGGATGGATATAGACAAACTACATACAAGTTTTCGTTATTAACTTCTATCCTAAGCACCAAAATACGCAACTTTGCCCCAATTTAACCAATCCTGTATCTCTCACCGTTTCCGAGATCCCAATGATGTGGCTCGAATTTGAAACACCCTGTACAATATTCTGGTAGGATTTTTCTGTTGATATTTATGATAATCTATATGGAAATATCCATCCAAAAACCAAAGAGTAGAGAAACTTGTTTGCCAACCCTGACTTTATTGCATGCACGTAGGTGAAAAGTTTTAATATAAATCGTTAAAACGTAAAATATGATGTCTTATTTAGGCTAAAAAAGAAGCGAAAAAACAGAAACAAAGAGAAGGAGCACCCAAAAAGACCCCTCATACTATCGACAGTCTTAGAATTAAAGAGGAAACCACTGTAACTAATTTAGAAGATGATGAAAACGAATTAATCCGTGACGATTTGGACAAGGACGAATTCAGTGATTATTATAAGCAGTCTTATGAGCCTAAAGTGCTTATAACTTATGCTGACAATCCTATGAGAGTGAGTAATAATTAATCAAGCTAATTACTTTAAAATTGAAGTATTTTTTTCTAGAAAACCAGAATATTTGGCAGGGAACTAACAAGAATCATTCCTAATTCCATTTCCCTATACAGAAATCGGTCAGGAGTGAAAAAAATTGTTAAAAGCGCTATTGAAAAGGAGTATACAGATGTTTTAGGTGAATTGACATGATTAAAATGACTCAAACAAACAAACTTTCTTTACCCATTTTCAGTTTTTTTACCTTTTTCAATCTTGTTTTCCTACTAAATATTTCATTCTGCATATTTTTCACAGTTATCAATGAAAATCGTCACGAACCTGACGGCTTACTAGTAATCCACTTACCAAACGGCCCCACTGCTCATTTCAAACTGAGCAACGTCCGTATTACACCAGAATTGAAAAAGAATCACAAAGACATCTCAGCTCACAGGCCTGAAGTTGTTTTAAACAACTTTACCACTCGTTTGGGGTTGACTGTAGGCCGAATGCTGGGGGCTCTTTTCCATTACGAGCCTGAATTTGTCGGTCAAAGGGCGGTTACTTTTCACAATCAGAGAGATTTTGTGTTTTTCAGGCATTACAGGTCAGTGAATGGGATATTTTATTAACAATAGTGTTTTGATGTATTGTTTTTTAGGTATGGGTTTGATGCAGATGGAAAAAGGGCCAGGTTGAAGGAATTGGGGCCCAGATTCACTTTGAAATTGAGGTCAATTCAAAAAGGTACTTTCAATAGCAAATACGGACAGTACGAGTGGATTAAGGATGGTAGAAGGCATAAAATGGAGACTAGCAGGAGGAAGTTTGATTTGTAGACATTTCAATTGTTGTTTGAATAAACAAATGTTGAACTATTTTTTGTGTTAATTCAGGTATTCTTTCGATCTGAACAAACTGATTGTGATTTCATAAGGTTTGAGGCATAATGATATCAAAAAAAAAAACAGTTGAAATCATTGTAAAACCGAAGACAATTGTTTGAATCAAACCTCAAGTGACTTCCATCAGTTTGTTCAGATCAAAAGAATACCTGCAATATTTCCTTTCACACTTCAATTGAGAAGTTTTTCTTCTTGCAAAGAATTACTACATGCTCTCTGATTAGAGTCTATTTTATCTATTAAGTTATGAAGAATAAATTATGACATTATTATGAATTATTATTATAAAGAAAAAATTAGGAATCAAAATAAGTGGATACGCAGTACTGAAGGGTTAAAAACCACATACATCAGAAGCAAGAAGAATGCTGACAATTTATGCAGAGTGTTCAGGAACACTTTTCAACAAAATGATGGTGCAGGGAAAGATGTATATTAACTGGCAGCCTCTGCCTGTGTACGAAGACTTGACAGTGTCCCATTATTTCCGGTAGTATTAGGTATGTAATTATTGAGAAATCCAAACTTAAGAGCAATGAGAACTGAGAAAATGAAATAAATGTTTTACAAGTTGAAAATTTAGCTTCATTAATCTTCTGTATGTAGTTTTGGGAGAAAATCATTTTTGAAAAGCGAGTTACTGGAAAGTTGTCAATTTAATTCCATACATTTGGTATACCCAGCTTAATTTAGTTCTTACACAAATAATTAAACATAGTATGGAATTAACAATTACATTAAATTTAATTATTCTTAGATTTTGACTGGTACTTAGTTGGGCAAATTTCCCTAACTTTACACCAGCCATCTAAATTATGTTTCTACTTTCTAATAATACAATAATTGTTTCAAACCTATTAAAACAAAGCCAATCAATAATTTTAAAAAAAAACTGATGTGACACCCTTGCTAGATGAATTCTCAATTAAACAAGCAGCAAACAGGACTTATTTTCTCTCCTAATTAAATTGCTGTCTTCTTCTAGCCCTTTGCTTATCAAATCTCAACTCCATCTCTTCCAGAACCTTTGGGGTGTACCTTACCACCAATTTAACTGACCCATGGGCTTGTTTGAGTAGTTCCACAGCTTTCTCATGGTTTTCACCTTCCACCGACACCCCATTGACACTCAACAACTGATCGCCCCTTTTTAAGCCTCCATGTCTGTCTGCAACTCCTCCTGGAATTATTCTGGAAATATAAATCGGAGAATTTTGCTCTTTGCCTCCCATAACGTTGAAACCCAAGCCTTCTTCGGTTTTCGGTAGTTCGACGACACGAGGATGAGCGTGGCCTTCGCTAGCAGCAAAAGCAGCTACTGTAGCTTTGGCCGTAGCTGAAGCCCTGACATCCTGGGAGCCTTGCACGTCTACAGTTTCGTAGACGTGCTCGTATACTTCGCGTACGGCGTGCAGAAAGTCGCTTTGCAGCACTTTTTGTAGGGCTATTAGTTTGGTAGCTGGGACTTCGCCGCTCTTTTGCAGTTTCTCCAACAGTTCTATTGACCTTTTGATGTCTGAGGAGGCAAAAAATGTGTTTTTAATTGGAATTTATTAAGTGGTGTATTGAATTTACCTTTGGCTAAAGTCAGGGGCTCGCCTATTTGTGCCATTTTTGGGGCCTAAAATCGATTTGGTTTGGTAAATTGGTTCCGTGTTTTTCTAATATCAATATTGATTTGTTTACATTTTTTGACTTTGACAGTAAAGCCAGGGGTGCGTTCAAGGACGGCAATGCTAAAGCCAAAACCTACTTTTCCCCCTCGGTGGTACAGTGACTGTACTCGGTGGTAAAACGCTTTAGTGCAACACGTAGTTTCTTATAAGATGCATTCCCAATGTTGAAGTTAGCCTTTTTGGACCGATTTCAATAAAAATATGCGGATTATATTACTTTTCAAGAAAAATCTATAAATTAAAGTGGTTCAATTTAAAGGTGTGTTAGTCTGGGTTAGTTTGCATAGGACTAGTACCAGGGACACTTTATCCGTTAGGACAATTGGGTCATGTCCTACGGGCCACTAGAGGATGGAAGGCCAACTGCTGGCGTTTAATTTTTATAATATAAAATATAAAAGCCCACTATATTAAAAACATCGACTTGTTTAGTAGCAGGACTAGCACATATATCATACACATATCAATACTCTTTAATTCACACTGCACAAGCACATTTGGTTCGACCAGAGTGCACTGCCTGACGCCGCGATGCTCTGGAATCGCTCCGCTCGCTCCATCGAGCATCAATCCGGAACACACCGAGATGCGCTGACTCGCCGTCGCGTCATTCGCGCAGTACGGGCACGTGCAACTGGTAACGACTACAGCAGGAGCCTGTTAGTGTTTGCGCTAAGCCGTTTGTTTTTTGTTCGTGGATCTATTTATGGTGTCAAGTGTGATCGTGTGATTTACAACTTTACGGAAAGAAATGATTCGAGATAAAAAAATAGATTCAACATTTCTCAATATTGATATTGCTCTGAGACTCTACCTTACTCTACCGGCATCCAATGCCAGCGCAAAGCGTTTTTTCAGCGTTTTGAAAAGAATTAAAAACTACTCTAGAAATAGGTCGATGGAGGCGAAAGGCGAAACTTTCATCGTCTGAATGATTTTATTTAACCCCATAAAAAAAACAATCACTCATGAAAGGCCATACCAAATAATTGACCTACGGGCCAGAGAAAGGTTAAAGCGTCTCTGACTAGTACGCATTACGTGGACGGGTTAGCTTGGGTTAGTTTGCATATTTTTGGTTAGTTTTGGTTACAGTTCGTATCTACTGGTTATAAGTGTACCAGAGCTGGGCAGGGCTTGAGTGCTTTGTGCTTGCGAAAGTGCTTGAAGCACTTTGAGGGCTTGAAAGCCCTGTGCTTCAAGCCCTTTTATAAATTTGTAATTAGGGCTTGCAAAGTCAATTACTTTAGAAAAGTGCTTGGTAATTTGTAATTGAAAAAAGTAATTCAAGCCCTTTCAATGAGCTTCAATTACTTTTAGAGGGCTTGAAGCACTTTTGGGAGCTTGAAGCCCTTTGAAAGGGCTTGAAGCACTTTAAGAGGGCTTGAAGCACTTTTGGGAGCTTGAAGCACTTTGAAAGGCTTGAAGCACTTTAAAAGGGCTTGAAGCACTTTACAAGGGCTTGAAGCACTTTGAAAGGAATTTGAATTGAACATCACTCAACCTATCCCCCACTTGATAATTTTCAATCATGTTTTGGGAATGAACTTATTATTCAAATAAATAATTAATTTATATTGGTATAGTTTTTCCAAATTCAATTGGAACAAGGTGCCAACTGGTGGCTGACTGGTCACTGAAAATTTCCATAAGAAATGCACTGCCACTAGTCAGTCACCGGTTATAATATATGCTCACCTTGTTCCAATTGACTTTGAAAAACTATAACCTATTTAACTTTATCACTGGATTTTTTCCACTTTTTCCCATTGAACACTTAGAAAACTTTAAAATTGAATTACCATGTAGTACCTACCCCAAGTACCCCAGAACTACATCTCAAAAAAAAACATACTACTGCTACTCTGTGAAATGTAAAGTTCGTTTCTACTATACCAATTCTGTGTGATGACTGTACGCGGTAGCTTATGCCACTTTGAGAATTTTATTAGAAATTCAAAGTGCTTTAGGCACATTTAAAGAGCTTCAAGCACATTTAAAGAGCTTGAAGCACATTTAAAGAGCTTGAAGCCCTTTTCAAGGCACCCCAAGCACTTTTGATGTGCTTCAAGCACTTTTCAAATCACTTTGGGGGCTTTGTGCTTGTCAAGCCCAAAGCACTTTGAGGGCTTTGTGCTTGTGAAGCACTTTGAAAATAAAAAGGAATTTGTGCTTGAAATTGAAGCACTTTGATAGAGGGCTTAGGGCTTAGTGCTTCAAGCCCTTTTACTGAGGGCTTTGCCCAGCTCTGAAGTGTACTGATTGAGAACACAGCGCGCGAAGCGGGCTTTGTTTTTTAAATTGGTATGATTAGGGCTCTCGGGAGCAGGGTAGAACGCATACTCCGATTGAGTTCATTTTTGGTATACATATAAAGGCCGCTGAAAGAAATTTTTCCAAGAAAAAATTGACCTTAGCCGCGACCTTGACCGTGACCTTGACCAGTGAAATTCACATAAATATCAATTTATCGTGCTGAAATTATGTATAGCGCCGAAGAGCATCATAAATAACCCACACGCCGAGTTTTAGCCTTCAAGGTCATACATATTCAGAGATACGGCAACCCCGCATTCTCCGTTTGGGCTAGAAGGCGTAGTCACAGCCTCTCCAATCGAGTTCATTTTTGGTATACATATAAAGGCCGCTGAAAGAAATTTCCCCAAAAAAAAATTGACCTTGGCAGTTGGCCGTGAACTTGACCGTGACCTTGACCAGTGAAATTCACGTAAATATCTATTTATCGTGCTGAAATTATGTACAGGGTGGGCCAATTTGGACACTTTTAATAGGAAACATCATGATATTGAATATTAATTACTTATCTAAAACTGGATACAAAATGTACTGATTAACAACGACAACCAAGCGCCACAAGCTCGATAAAATAAAAATGTTCAAGGATGCATTTCAAGAATGGGTTAAGTTGGGTTGTTTTGCATTATTTTGTAATTCTCGATTAGATAGGTTTACGGGGCACGCAGTAAAAAGACGGGTAAGTTCGGGTTAGTTTGCATATTTTTGATCAGTTTCGATATAGCACAGTTATTGTCGGTTAAAGTGTACCAATTTCAAAAGTTCAGTAGATATTATACGCTTTATTATTACTCAATAATGTTGTTTTCAAAAAATGGTTTGAACACTTACCTCTTCTCTTCATTCGAATATCTACCACATGATGCTTTTTACGTTTATTAAATTTTTATCTGCTAAACAGAGCGATTGTGATATTAAGCTGATAAGAATAGATATTATATATTGATCTGTGTCAAAGGTCGAGAAGAGGATTCCTTTAATACTTATGAAATCCAATTTATAGTTATTTGCGCCAACATTTTCGATCATAAAACAATATTTTGGGATCAAACTAAACTATCTTTAATGAAGAAGCATGATATATTTTTTTAAAGGACCTTTACTGAACTGTTACCTTTTACGGCCTCAATATGTATACCAAAAATGAACTCAATCGGACTACGCCTTCTACCCTGTTCCCGAGAGCCCAAACTGAAAATGCGGAGTTGCCGTATTTCTGAATGTGTATGACCTTGAAGGCTAAAACTCGGTATATAGGTTACTTGAGATGCCTTTCAACACTATACAAGTTTTCAGCACGTTAACTGCCATTTACGTGAATTTGATGGTCAAGGTCAGGATCAAGGTCCCAGTCAAGGTCAATTTTTTTTAGGGAAAATTTCTTTTGACGTCCTATATATGTGTACCAAAAATGAGCTTGATCAGAAAACGCCTTATAGCCCGTTCCCGAGAGCCCAAAAATTACCTTTTAATTCAATATCAACATACAAGGACTCGCACGCATTACGTGGACGGGTTAGTTTGGGTTAGTTTGCATACTTTTGGTTAGTTTGAGTTACAGTTCGTTAAATATCTACTGGTTGTAATATCTACTGGTTTAATATCTACTGGTTATGTGTAAGTAATTGTGAATGTGAATATTCGCTTACTACGGCAAAAAACGTAAATATCCGCACTTAAATTGATACAAAACCAACTGTATAAAAGATATATCAACTAATTTTTATAGAAAATTTGTTAATTTTTGTTGCACTAAAGCGTTTCACACCCTCCCCCTCCACTTGTAATGCCGAACCACGTAGGTTGGAGCCGAACTCGAACGCAAAATGCCAATTTTGGCTTGGCTGTAGCCATTCCTGAACGCAGCCCCGGCTTCAACCTATTTACGTAGTTCGGCATTACCGGTGGAGGGGGAAAAGTAGGTTTTGGCATTAGCATTGCCGTCTTTGAACGCACCCCAGTTGCTATGTTTGGGTGCGTTCGAAATCACCCTGGGCGTCACACCGAGTGCACACCAGCTATGAATTATTCATGGCTGGTATGCACTCGTTGTGACGCCCAGGGTGATTTCGAACGCACTCTTTAATTACCTTAAAGGTGGTGTGCGCCAAAAAAACAACTTCATCTCAAAAAAAAGAGATTTTTTTTTTTAAGAACAACAGTGAAAACCACACTCCTCTATGACAAATTATACCGAAGATATGGCTCTATGAAGGTACCGCATCTCACCCTATGACGTCACGAGAGCTCGAGCGACTCACGAGATAGTGAAGTAAATTGAATTTACATATGTTTTTTCTGTGTCACCTGCAAGAATCTAAACAAAAACCACTGACGCGTGCCAATCAAATTAACAATGCCGAGCGCGGCTGGACGAAGCTCTCGTGACGTCACACACACTTTGAAGCGGTATATCTCAGCAATAGTTTATCGTAGAATAACGAGGTTTGAGCTTAGCAACACACTCTTTGCTTACACAATACGCTTCATACTGTAGCAAAACGCCTCAAGTACTCTATTTAATTAGTTAGATGGTAAATGGCGAGAGTTATATTGATGGATGGGTGTTTATTTCCTTTAGCTGCTACCTATAAAATTGTGGAGGGGTCCAGGGTCGGATTAAGGTCTTTTGGGGCCCGGGGCTATTTTCACAAAAGGGGTCCCTAGGTCCCTGAAATACATTCAAACGTCACTCAAACAAAACTTCACCTTGCAGGTGCATTTATTACAGTATGCTTGTTAGTGAAATAAATGTCCGAGAATATAGAGGAAATATTTCGGAAAGTTTCGGAAATATTTCCTTTTGCTAAATTTGAAGGAGAATTTTGAGAATTTATGAAATTTAAGAGAAATTATGAAATATTT